CATTATGTATTTATGTATCAACCATAAACATGCATGGTTGGGGTGCTCGACTGCTAGTTGATGCCACTACAAGTCAATATTGTATTTTATTTATAATTAAATTTGTTTTTTACTTATCAAAAAAAAAAAAAATTTATAATCAAATTTGTTTTTAAGTTTTCTCAAGTTGAAACTTTCTTCTTTAAAAAAAAATAGTGCAGCAAAGAACAAAAGGAAGTCTAAAATTATTGGTGGAGGTCTGCGCTAGTTCACTATCATAGGTCAGTAATTCTTCTTATCAAGTGTCTCCCTTTCATGCTGTTTTCATATCATCAGGTGCTGTTCCAATTATGTTCTCGCTTCGCAGTTTGATGTTATATCAATGAAGCTTATGGGTCTTTCTTTTAATAAAAAAATTACATTGCCTCTATATAGTTAGTAGAACTATATAAAAAAGATCTTTGTTTTAAAAAAAAAATTCTAAATCCACTTTTATTAACTTTGCTGGTTTGGTTTATGCAACTTATAAGACTGATTAGGTGAAAAAGTTTTTTTTTTTTTTTTTTAAACTCTAGCTCTTTCACTCAATTTTTTTTTATTTTCTAAACTGAGCTGTCTGATTAAGCAAGACATATATAGATAAAATTATATATTACACTGCTGATAATGAAAATTATAACTCTATTTGTGATAGTGAGCAATCTTGAGTAATAGTTTATTCATGCACATGCCTATGTAAATCACATAAGCATAAATTAAATTGATAATATATTTAGTTAAATTTCAATGAATCAGTAAGCATTGGGTACTTGTTAGTTAGGATCGATATTGCTCTTCTATATATGTTGTTTACTCACACACTTTCCTTAAATATATAGCAGTTTAGCTTTCTGTTTTTGCTTTCTAGAGGGATTCTTTATTTTTCTATACTTCTAAGTCAGGAGTAAAGCCAAAGCTAGAGGCTCTAGTTAATTTTTTGACAAGTATTTATGCCATTTCAAATAACTATAGATATGATGTTGTAAACTCATGTCTTTTGCATTTTTTATGCCTTGTGTAGAAAAAAGAAAATAATGCGCCCGACTCTATATCAAGAGTCGATGTGGATTGAAGGTCACTTGAGGAAGGATAAGGAACCTTTGAATGATGCAATAGGAGTGGCAGTGGTAATATTTTTGTTGCTTTGGAAATTCTTTCAAACTGTTTTTGTTTATATTTGTTTCACTTTTGTGGGTTCATTTAATTATAACTGTATTATAGCTAAATTTACTTGTGCTAGGGTAATTTATTGATGCAAAGATACTAATTTAATATGCCTGTTGTTTTTAATTATTTTTTGAAACATTGTTTTCAATTACATAGTGATTAATTAATTAATTTATATAAAAAAAATATATGCAGAAGATAGTTTATTCTTTCTATGAGCACAAGCTATTAGATATATTGAATTAATAGTTTCCTAAGAGATGCATAGAGATCTTGTTTCCATATAAGATGGAGAATTAAAATTAATATTTTTTCATTCTTCAGTATGAAAGAAGTGAATTATTCATGCAGATAAACTGATATTTGTATCTTTATATACAAGGGAGACTTTTTTTTATTCTTTAATCTTTTTGGCCCTGTAGTTAAAACTTTATTATAGGAAGAATGAATATACATGTAGTTTGGTGAAACCCCATGGAGTCTTTGGGATTCGCAGCCCTTGGCTGCTTTTTGCTGCCTTAGGGGCTAGCTGATATCCTCTCCTTTAGTAGATTTTTTTTTTTTTTTTTTTTTTTTTTTTTTTTTTTCAAGTGTACAATTTCATTACCTTTGTAGAAAAAAGAAATACCCTTAGCAGTACTCTAGAGTTGAGGAATCAACCCTTTAGCTTCTAAACAAATAAAGACACCTCACAATGACCTCGGCTGCAGATGGGATATTCTTGAAAACCCTGCTATTCCTAGTGATGAAACGTTTAGAAAGGAGAAATTTAATGGTTTTGGGTTGAGATTTTCAGTTTGAGGAATCCTAGTATATTAAAGAATTCCAATCACAAGGCAGGCAAGATATGAAAATTGCACAAACGCTAAAAAGGGTTCTAGAGGAAATAGGACATCAAAAAAGAGATTTGAGAATGGTTTGTTAGGTCAATAGGACTTAGGTGGTATATTTTATACATTCACATCATTATTCATATGAAATTTATTTTTTTCATGGTTTTAATGAATTGATAGTTTTAAATTTTTAATAGATGGAGCAGAGAAATGAAAATAGCAGGCAAAAATGTTGCCAAATATATGTATAATACGGAGTATATATATTGCAAAAAAAAAAAAAGAAGGCATTTGGGACGGTTTTGCTTCTCTGTATACTGCTAATTGGGACATAAAATGCATAAAACTATCAGCTAAACAAGTCGTAGAAAGCAAAATATATATATATATATATACACACACACACACACAAAAACACAATCTCACAACGACGGTCTTGACTATAGAATAGAAATTATATATATATATATATATATATATATATATATTGCAGAATAGAAATTATAATAGGAGAAGAAACCTAGATGAAAATCAGACATCCAAATGAAAATAAAATAAAATTCTAACACTAAATTAGGCCAGTGATAAATATATATAGAAAGTAATTGCACTTTGATGAATGTTGGAAGTGCATAGGCTAGTTTATGATGTTCATTAATGAGGTTTGTGATTCCTCGGGATTGTACTAGAACAACATGTAATGTACATAATTCATGTCCACCAAATTGGTTGGCCCAGTTTTGATCAAATTGAAGACAAGTCTTTCAATTTTCTAGTTAAGAATTCAATACTGTTAGTCTAAATTACAAATTTGTGGTATTAAAAAATACCTCTTTTTTGGATTCTCTTCTATTCTCATTAATCCTAAATTAGTTACATACTTTCCTAGAAACTGAGTTGACTATTGGTATTCTTATTTTCTATTTATATTTTTTCTTTCATGTATCATATTTTGAAAACTTAGTTTTGGGTTCATTTTTTTGACACAGGCACTAATTGTATTTATTCATTGTTGGTTTTGCAGATTGTTGGATGAGCTCATACTATAAGAATTCAAGCTTTTTTTGTTTAAGATGGTTTAAGTTGTTTATGTCCAGATCTTTGTTTAGGATTCTATAGCTCATTTTTATCTAAGATTTCGGAACATTTTGTTTAGGATATTAGCTTGTTTTTGTCTAGATGCTAAGACTCTTTTTGTTTTTGCGTGATGGGCTTTATTGTATATGTTGTAAACAATACTTTTTTAGTTCACGTGACTTATGTAATATCAAGTATTTATTTATTTGTATAATCATTTTGATGTGTGATTAAATTTTATTTTTGATATTGGTTATAATGTTAATAATTTATAGGTTATAATATTATAATTGGTGTCATATTAATATGTTATTAATATATATAAATTCAAAAAAAAAATTAATATATTGAAAAAATGGGAATATTTTTCACGAATAAATTTTGTGGCCTATTTTGGATAGTTGTTACGACATATATTTGTGGTTGATTAAAATTATAGCCACGAATAAACTCCATGGCCTATTTTGGGTAGTTGCTACGATATATATTCGTGGGCAATTAAAATTATAGCCACGAATAAATTTCGTGGCTTATTTTTGGTAGTTGCCACGACATATATTTGTGGGCAATTAAAATTTTAGCCACGAATAAACTCCATGGCCTATTTTGGGTATTTGTCATACCATATATTCGTGGTTAATTAAATTTATAGCCACGAATAAATTTAGTGGGAAAAGACTTATTCTACCGCGATAAATATTTTCGTGGCAAAAGGATTGAATTAGCCACGATTAATTCTTATATCGGGATTGCTACCTGCTACGAAAGTATTGTTATTTAGCAACGAAATAGCTTGTGGCAATAGAAGGTATTTTACCACGAGTTCAAATTCATGGTTATTGGCATTCTGTGACGGGGCTACGCCCACGACCGAGCCACGAGCTATTTCTTGTGGCTAAAAGGATTTGAAAGTTTTTGCCACGAAGTGTCTTGTGGTAAGAACCCAAATTTGTTATAGTGATTTAAGGTTTTGGATCGAATTGCGAAACACTCACCCGTTACATACAGTTGGTATCAGAGTTAGAGTTAATTCTTGATCCAATAGTAAGAACCCAAATTTGTTATAGTGATTTAAGGTTTTGGATCGAATTGCGAAACACTCACCCGTTACATACAGTTGGTATCAGAGTTAGAGTTAATTCTTGATCCAATATCATACCAAACACCTTGCCCGGAAGGCACCCGGGTGGCCCAAGACACCAACTTGTATTATTTGAAGATGTGGTTCTGGTCACAAGCTGCCACATCATTTCAATGTATTCATAAAACGAAATTTTAAATTCTTTTCAATTTTTTTGTCCTAATGTTAGCTGTTAAGGGAGTCCTCTTAATTATAACAAGAGTCACCCAGCTCTTTATATTTTAATTAATGAGCCAAGAAAGATTTTTTGAGATTTGTAAGAATCAAATGGATCATTTAATACAATTTTCAATCTAAAAGTTAAATATAAAAAAATTCAAGACTCTTGTTATAATAAGAAGACTTTCTTGATAGCATTCTAAAAAAAAAAATCTTCTTTATTTATAAAATAAAATATTTAATCTTTTCTTTTCCTTCCCAAACAAAGAGCTGAGTTGGTTTGGGAATGAATTAAGGTTGAATGGGAGGTGAGGAATGATCTTAGACAGATTTTTGGGAAATAAAATACCTTTTTGGTGAAAGGGAATAAAGTCCCCAAAAGTTCGTGGAAAGTGGGCTTGCGTTGACAGGGCAACGAGTTCAAAATTTGAATTTCAATATTTGTTATAAGTTGATAAAATAAATATATATACATATATACATTTTTTTTTATCACAATAAACAGATTTATAAATTCACTTTCTTTGTATGGGTAGTCAAATTGTCGACAATTTTTTTTTTTTTTTAACGGGATAAAAACAACCACAACAAAAGGGGCAAAAAACCTAAGACCTAACATCCGCCAGGGCAAAGGGGATGACAGAAGGAGGTAAAGACGTCAACATCTGATCTAACATAAGCCCAGGCCTCGAAAGAGCAGCCAAAGCATGAGCCACCATATTATTGTTGCGATGAACATGAGTCAAACTAGCTGATGAAAACCTCCGCAAGTCTCGTTGGATATCATAACATAAAGAAGCAATTTCTAACGGACACTGCACTCTATTTAGCACTCCATCCGCCACAACTTTGGCATCCGACTCAAACCATAAACAAGAAAAGCCTAATTGGAAAGCACAAAGAATAGCACGCTGACACACCAACGCTTCCGCCTCCAAAGGTGAAGTAGCATGAAATGGACAAAAAATAACCGCATGAAGAACTTCACCCAGAAAATCCCAAAAAACAGCTCCTCCACCCCCTCGCAAAGACCGCCGACAAAAAGAAGTATCAAAATTACACTTAACAATACCCGTTGGAGAAGGACACCACACAACAACCAAAGCATTAATCGGACCAGGCTGTAGTAAAGAACATAAGGAACGAGCATCATAAAATTCCCAAAAACACACCCTATCGTTCTACACCACACCAACTGCTGACGATCCTCTGGTTTTGCGACTCCCCATCCAACAGCAACTTGATCTTAGGCTTACACTTGATATTTGTAGAAGAGTAGCAGGTAGATCAGACAACACTCCACGAATGCTCCCACCCTTTCAAAGTGTGAGTGCGTTTACTTCTATTCTTCAATCGTCTGAATGATGTAGAAAAAGATCTGCTTCATCTGATCGACGTTAATACGACTGTATGATCACGATCAGGATTTAAACACCACAACTCTAAACTATGTTTATGTGTATGTGTTCTAGAAATATATCAGAAAAATCAACTCTGATTTTCTGCACAAATAATCTTCCTAAGGCTTTGAATAATATCTGAATAATAATGTAAAAGTCGTTCATAAACTAATGTATATGACATGATTTATATAGAGTTTAGAATGACCTAATCCCTCTGAAAATAAGATAAAATTCGTGCATAGGATTTAGTACAATTCTAGACCAACTAGGAGAGAAATCTGAAACAGGAAACTAAACTTTCCATAGGCTATCAGGACTCTTGAACCTATTCAAAGAATTGGGTACAGGTTCAAGAATGGCAGAATGTATTTCGAGGCCAATGTTGAAGACTTAAACCTGTTCAAAGAATTGGGAACAGGTTCAAAAATGGCAGAATGATTTCTAGACGAAATTCTAATGGCTTGAACCTGTTCCAAGAATCATGAACAGGTTCAAATCTGCCAGACTTGATTCCTAAGGTTCTAAGCACTGTTTTTGGTATATTCTGAAACTTACCAAATATGGATGTGTCCTAACCTTTTTAAATTTCTTCCTAACATGGTGTTCTTCCTTTTCTGTGATGATCACCGTTATAGCATCTTTGAACAACCTTCCAAATCTATAGTCTCCGCCGATCTTGATAACTTGTTTTATAAGTAACTTGAATTACAACTCGACATGGACTTGTTTTGTTTACGATAATTGCCAAATATAAAAAAATATCTCACAATCTCCCCTTTTGGCAATTTCGAAACAAAACCCTAAAAACAACTTGAATAATCTACCCAAAGCAAAAAAGTAAATTACAAATGTGTTTAAAGGTAACAGACGAAATATCTTTGCTCTTCTTGGATATATGAATTGACCTGACCTGAATTCCTGCACATTACCAAGTAACAACTACCAGTGAAGTATAATAAATAAAAATTTATAAACACTCCCCCTTAAGAATATATCTAGAAAAATGAACAAAGAAAGCTACCATCTCTCCCCCTTTATATTGCACTATCTCCCCCTTTTTGTAAGAAATTGTCAAAGCATAGGAAATAAATAGTAGAACAAAGATAAAATTCCAAAACAAAGCATATTGAAGTCATTGAAAGCATATTCTAGGAATATCTAAAATAAAATGACCATGTGAGAAAGTGTCTGATGTCATGATGCATAATACACACAAAAGTCGGCATCATTATCGATCAACCATTATGTCAGAAAACAACTATCAGCTTCAGTCGTCTCCACTATCCTCTGCAGTCTCCTCATCTTCATCCCCATCAGAATAGTCATCCTCATCATCAGTTCTCATCGATGGATTTGGAGAAGCAGGCCGATAAACATCCTCAGTAGGAACCTCTGACTGCTGGCCTCTCATCTGTCTTACCTCTAGTTTAAGATCTCTAAGGTTAGCCATTAGTAGTCAATATAGGCATTCCAAGCATGTTCATTGTAGAAGTGACTTTATTCGAATTCAACATTTCTTGTTGATGACACAGATGGATACCCAGATGGTATCTCTCGAGAAGACGAACTGGTTGATCTAGGAGTTGATGCCCTTCTTCTGGAAACATTCAAACCTCTATGAGATTCTTGAATGTCAATGCTTGTTCTGGGCCTCTTGGGAGGCTGTGGATGTGCAATCCTTTTGCCTTTAGCTTCTTTGGTGATTTTAGGAGCCATTTGATTCACAAAGCTTTTGGTTTTAGAGCTTACAAACTCTTTCAGGAATTTTCTCAAACACTTGGTGTGCAACCCCAAAGGTGTTTATAGAGAAAGCTTGATATGATCTCCAATTCTCCCAAAAACTCAACAACAATGTAAGACTATGATCCCTAGAACAATTCAAAGCTTCAATCACGCCAAGAATTAAAATAATTAACCAATCCTCTAAGTTGTTCAAACCCACACTCAACTTTATCAAACCCATTTTTCAAGTCAATCTTCACTATCAGGTAATTGTTCTTCAATTTGCAATGATATGTATGCAAGATATGTTATGAAATGATGAACAAAATATATAGATGATATATATATATATGTAGGTATATGAGAGTTGTGAAATGTGAGGAAGAAGCAGGCAAAATTCGCAACACAAGAGAAAGAGTTAAGTTCCCTTTAGCGCGCACATACCAGGCTTTAAAAGCCTTTTCCCAAAGCCTTGAACCTGTTCTCAAACATTGGAACAGGTTCCAAACTAACAGTCCACTTTGGCTTTGAGCTAGTGGATATCTTGACCCGAAGTGTTTTTTTTTTTAAAAATTTCATTTACCTAAAAATTGTTCTAACACACTGGTGATTAAAAAAAATCCACAAATAAAATTCTAAAAACCTAAAAATCAAAATCGTTTTAAAATTTTCAAACTTTTCAATTTTTTTATTTTTTATTTTTTAAAAAACAATAAATCACCAATTATTAAAATTAACCGGTCAACACACGACTCAAAACTCTTTCAGAGAATTTTAAAAATATCTCAGAGAACAAATATTTGACTCCACAGATTCTTTTGATAAATTCAAATCTCAGAAAGTAATCACAACATGAAATTAAACTTGCAAATTTTACTGAAAAATTTAGAAATTAATCTAGCAAGTTCATATGTGTGTGTGACTTCCAATCTAATCCATCTTTAACAGATCATTGTCTAAACCTTATTCATCGAAAAGCATCAAGATAAAATTGTTTTGAGCAATTTTTTTTTTTAAGCAAGGCGGTTTTCATTCTAAAGAGTAGTTAGCAATTCCCCAACTCAACTTATCTCCACTTTTCGCTTCAATTCACAGTTTAATAGGAGTTTTTGATCAAATCTCAATAGGTAGCCTTTTCCTTAGCAACTTATTCACCGACGATCCGAACCCCTGGCTCTCCGTTACCCATATCATCCCCCTCTCTCTCTCTCACTAGTACTCCGACGAAACCATTCCATTAACCCTCAAACATCGCCGTTCGTCGTCGCCGATCCTTGAACACTAGCTTGTGACGCCATCTTTGCTCACCGCCGATCCAAACCCCTGCTGTTTCATCTCGCTGTCATTCCTTACTCACCGCCGTCCCTTTCATCGCTGTTCGTCGATGACGTTTTAATCCTTTGTTCCCCGTCCTCGCTGTTCGTCCCCGCCGATCAGTGATGAAGAAGTAGAATTTGAAAAAGAAATTCGAAACCCGGCCATTGAAAAATGCAAGGTTAACCTTTGGTTTTGGGGGATTTGAAGAGTAGGTGAAGACATAGAATTGAAAATTTTCTCTTTGTGATTTTGGCTATTTGTTGAATTAGTGGGTGTCCATTAAAAGATGCAGGTTAACCTTGCGGCATCAGATTACAGAGAGAGAAGAGATGGAGAATTAAAACAATAAGATCGGGTTAAGCCAGTAAATAGATGGGCAATGCCCATCTTAATAATTGACAGGTGTTGAAATTTTATGAAGCCACATCATATTTTTTAATTCTTTTAAGAAAGTTAAAACTAATACCCCAACTTAAATTTAATTATTTATTTTTACTATGGTGATGTCGAGTTTTTTAGGATTTTTGTTTTATTAATTAATTTTTTAAAATTACTCTCACTATCCCAAAAAAATGTTCCCTTTGAAAAACTGTGACTCACTATTGTGTTTTAGGGAAACTTTGAATATGAAGCACAGACGTGGACATGTGGGACACGGGTGCGATACCTTTGTGAGTCATAACTTCCTAAAAGGGACATCTATTTATTTATTTTTATTTTTTTTTTTGAATTTTAAGTTAAAAAAGGAACATTTATTTTGACAAAGGGGGAGTAATTCTTATGAAATCATCTCTCATCAACTATATATATATAAAGCACAGACATGGGACACGCGTACGAAACAATAACAATTTAATGTTTAAAAATTTTAATTATTATCTATTAGACTTCTAAGTTTAATTATTTTGAATAAACAATGTATTTAATTAGTATATAGTTTATGTTTTAACTTTGTCTATTATGTAAAAAATAAGAAAATTAATTTTCAAAAAGGAAAATTCTTTGTTGGAAAAGTTATAAAATATTTAAATTTCATTTAAAAAAAAACTATTTTTTTAGTCTAGGACATCAAATTCATAACACAATGGAGTTTTGTTTTGATAATAAATATTTTTCAATAATGTTTGTTCGGTAGGAAAAAAATAATTTGGCTAGGAGAGAGAGATGGATGAAATCGACATCCCTAAATAAGATAATGTCATTGCCTATTTTTGTTCATCAATTGGATGTAAGTGAAGAGAATAAGCTCGATCACAATTTAGAGTAAAGTGCCTTTACACAACCATGTGATAATATCCTTACAGTGCACACATATATATCAACCCCCTCTTGTGTACAAAATACCATTGATCAATTTGAAAAAAATGTGCAAATACATGCCACCAGACACATTAAAGTAATACATTAACCAAGTTACCCTTATATACACAATTTTCATATTATTTAAAACAAAATTACATTTATGGAATGACCAAAGAGGACAAAATCTATTATGACCGATCTAACATTTTGGTCACTCTATGTTAACGTTGTTGGGTTCCAGCAATTTAATGAGTTGTCTGGGACGGCAACTTTTGTCACCGTCAACTATAGGCTAGTCGCCAACACCAACACTGACGACCCACATTCACATAGATTGTCCTCTCTCTTTCTTTCTTTCTCTCTTTAGACTTACTGACTCATCAAGAACTACGTACGTACCCACGCATATGTTGTCCAAATATGGTCTAAGTATAACATATACTATAATATTACTATTTAAATATTATGTAAAAAAATAATGTATATATATATATAATTATTATTATAAAAAAATAATAATATATATTTTAGTATATAATAAAATAAAACTATATAAAAATAAAAGAACCTGATAATAGGTCGACATTTGGATTTGATTTTATCTCCTTAAGACAGATTCGCTCCCACTATGGTGCTTACGGACTTAGTGACGTCTATCTTCCAGGATGCAACGACATTTCTTTCTTCAGTAGCAGTACTGCAAACCAAAGAAATGGGCGAACCGACTTAGTGTAGTACTCTCTCCTATAGACTGGACTCAAACTCACATTATGCTCTACGTGTATGTAAGTATGCAAGAAGAGAGAATGAGGAAGAGGAGATTTCAAAATTAAGATCGAAGACAAGTATTCTGAATTTTTGGTGTATTTTACAAATGATCCCAAGCGGGGTATTTATAGGCAGCAAGGGGCTTTTTCGGGTGGGTGCAACCATGGGACATGATGATTCATTCAAATAGAACCAGGTGCAACCCTTTGGATAAAAGTGGTTCAATTCAGATTCAAACTGAAGCACGTATGTACTGGTTTGAACTAGGTGCAACCCTTTGATGCACTGGTTAGAAAAACCAATTTAAATAAGCCAGCCAAAAATTAAATTAAGTCCACACATGAGGCCCAATTCCGTTTAATAAAAAATTAACCGGACTTTACAATCAAGACTGGACCGGGCAGGCGAAGCATGCGTGTGTGTGGTAAATGGTTTGTACCCAAGCTTACCTAATTCTTCCCCCATTTAAAAACTTGGGTGCCCTTAGGTCCAAACCCAACTTCCAAACTTGGCTTATTAAAATTTCAATTAGTTTCATTATTTTTTTCATGTTGGACAAGCACGCACTTCACACATTTCGCATACCCATTTATGCTTACCAAACACATACCTTACTTTGGAGCTGACTTTTGATTCGGGAGATCAATCTTGAGGGTTGATAACAATAATGGAGATCAGAGACAATTGGCAAGGTTAAATGTTAAGTCTTTTGGGACAAATAATATTTTTGTTGACAAAAGATTCACAATTTGAAACAAAAAAGAGATTTGTTGTAAAAAATTAACTTTTTGCAACAAAAACTTTTGTCCCTAAAAATGTAATTTTTTGGCAACAAACTACTTGTTACTAAATGTTAAGTCTATTGGGACAAATAATATTTTTGTTGACAAAAGATACACAATTTGAAACAAAAAAAAGATTTGTCTCAAAAAAATTAACTTTTTGCAACAAAAACTTTTGTCCCTAAAAATATATTTTTTGGCAACAAATTACTTGTCACTAAATGTTAAGTCTATTGGGTCAAATTATTTTTTTGTTGACAAAAGATACATAATTTGAAAAAAAAAAAAAAATGAGATTTGTCTCAAAAAATTAACTTTTTGTAACAAAAACTTTTATCCCTAAAAATATATTTTTTGGCAACAAATTACTTGTCACTAAATGTTAAGTATTTTGGGACAAATAATATTTTTGTTGCCAAAAGATTCACAATTTGAAACAAAAAATAGATTTGTGGCAAACAATTCACTTTTTGAGACAAAAACTGTTGTCTCTAAAAATGTATTTTTTGGTAACAAACTATTTGCCACTAAATGTTAAGTCTTTTGGAACAAATAATAT